CCAGCAGAATCCAGCTACTACTCATATCAACCGTTCCCACCGAAGAAGGTAACAGTCAGTGCTATACTTACTGACAGTCAATGTCCATGATCTGCCACTAAAATACTTGCAGATGTAGATGAAAGGCGTCTGCAGTGCTCTACAACAATGATCGTATCCATTTCCACTACAGTTCACCTGATATGATAACCACTCGACAGCCAATCTCCAGGTACTTTGCACTTCCTGTCGTTGCCATTGCTTATCCATTGCCACATAATGATGGTGGCGGGGTAGAGATGTCGTGGCGTGTATTCCCACAGACACTTCCACGCGAATTCCGGTGGTGATGACAGCAAGTGTTGTCACAAGAGCTTCCTGCTTGCACTCACACCTCATGTTCCAGCGAAGGACATAGTTTCTCGTCTTTCCTCCCTCCCTCCACCAGGGGTCTCGTCCCGTCTTGTTGTACTGTTATTCTTCAGAGAGAAGGCTGGCCCCTTTTGTTAGGTGTGTTTAAATGCTCTTTCTTTCACATTTTTAATTGACCAGTCCTGCGGTCTGTGACTTGTTTTAGAAGGGCTCGACCCTCTTCTTCACCCACCTTCATTTGGAATCAATTCGACTTTCTGCGGGCGCTGGAATCACCCTGACTCCCACCTGAATGCCATCGCTTGGAGTTTGCGCGTGTGTGATTTGGCTCATCGCCGCCTTTATCACACCGTCTTTAGCGCAGACGAGCGGTTTATTTCAATGGAGTTTTGCTAATACAGTGAGTGGATTCTTTGCGCGTCTTCTTAACGTCAAGCTCAAAAATTCATGATATCATCTACGTGCGATAGGCTTTATCGACTTCTATACCTACGTGCTTTTCGTTATCGATTATTGTGGAATCCTTCAACAACACGACAAATGTCACTACTGGTACTCCACCATACTATATGATCGCGTTTGCTGTTGGTAAAACTCCGGTGACAACATTCATTGGGACGGATGAAAAAAATCTGAACTGGACTGTCACCGAACCTGCTGGTGAGTCGCGTTACTTTTGCCGATTCAACCTCTGGCTTATGACGTCGCAGGATCCCAGCTCGTTCTCAGTGTCGTTGATGCAAATGGGAGTGCTGGTGGTATCCAACCCCGTATGTTCACTGTCAACGGTAAATTCACATACCCCTTTGGTTGGTTGGCAAAACGCTCAACGAAATGCTTTACAAGAGGGAATGAATACACAGTGTGTCACCACGCCGACCTTGACACCTGCGTTCACGATTACTTCGAACGTTACAGGCGACCTTGAGACCTGTCAGCCTTGGGGCCTTACCGTGAACGGCGGAGTGCCACCCTATATAGTTACTCTTGGTGCGCTTGGTTCGCCCGTCGTGACGAATGTCAGTATGCCCCTCGGGGATAATATGTACACTTTCATAAATCGTGCGGCCCCGAATAGACAGCTTATAGGTACGTTTGTATTTAGCTTCCTTCTCTCTCCTTTTTTGATCAATATACTATGTAGGCGCCGTCAGTGACCAGTGAGTATTGGACCACATCATCTCGCTATCCATATTCTTAATTTTCACTGGTATTGAAAAGAACAGGGCGTTGGGCTACTGGAACATTGATCGTCAACACGAAAGGTATGTAAGCATCGCAAGTCGAACTTGTTCCATTGCTGAGACGATCTGTGACAGGATCTTCTGATGTATCGTGCGCGGGGCTGATGAGCTCAAGTGGCAATGTAACACTGGTTCAACAGGACGCCGATGCGGCCAATAGAGCTCTATCGGCTGCGAAGAACGCGCATTCCGTGGCAGTTGGAGTCGCAGTTGCATTTATGCTAATCTTTCTGATCGCACTGGGTATCGGAGGTGTCATTTATCTGCGCAGGCGTCAGAGACAGAACCAGAAATTTCGGGCGACGACTATGCCCAGTCAATTTCAAGCAGAGGTCGAAGCACAGTTGCCTTCCGCTCCAACTGATACGAGTCCGCCGATGTATCAGTTGGGGTACACTGCGATGGGCGGGACGGGAGTGACCCAACCGTCTGAAATTCATTATCGCACTCTCCCATCGCCCGATAACCCCCCCAACACTGGATTATCATATTATCCCAGCGGCATTGCTTTGGATAGACATATTGCCAGCACCTATGACCGCTCACCAGCCTCAACGCGTGTTTCGCGTGCAGGCTTCTCAAGGTTCCCATCGTTGGCTATTCGCCGTCTACCGAAATCTGTCGAGGGCGAAATTCACTCAGCCGTCTCTCCAGATTCTGAATACGTTCTGGAGACCGCGATCAGCGACTCTCGTAATGTACTAGGAATGCAGCTGTCTGCGATATCATCGACCAGGACAGGCACCATGGGTCGGATGTTTTGGGCGGAGAGCAGGGTAGAGGAAGAACCAGGGATGACGGACCAGCATCAGGATGCAAGATCTATCAACGAACCGCCACCCCCATACGCCGACGGAAGCGAATCCAATTGGCCGACTCTCTAACCTCCGTGTTCTTATTTCTTTATGGGTTTTTCGTGGGTCCAACTGTATAAAATCATCGCAGTCAATGCTAACGCTTGTGTATTATGGACCTGTTTGTACTATCATTATTCCCCGTTTACTGGCGGGAATTCCAGAACGAAACCGATGATTTACGCAATTGCCACTGAGCAAACTGAAACGTTACTGTTACATTGGCCGCGGCCTAGTAGTACAACACATGGGGGGAAAGCGCCGATTGTCATCCCTCTTACTCAACCGCTGTGGTCCAGCCCCACCCATGCCTCAGGTGTAGGGGATTGCGGTGCTCGATTACGTCGGTCCATGAAAAAGCTAACTCCAAACGATCCGACCCCTGTGAGAATCAAGGCCACTCCTTCTATAATCTTACCGCAGGCGTATAGCCCGACGGCGGCGAAGGCGATGGGCGTGGTAATGATATACAAGCATCCTTTCCCCAAATCACGCAAGACACTCCTGTGCTCGGCAGGAATCTCAGCGAGTAGGTTTCTGCACCGCCAAGACTGTCTAGCAGTTGAGGTGTCGGTGGCTTCATCTACGTCGGGGGCGAGCTGAATCGGGCCAAGACCCCTTGCGGTGTTTCCTGCCCGTGTGGCTGAACCGTGTATTTAAATTTCACTTGAATAACAAACGGTCCATTGAAAGGTCCGAAACGAGCAAATCAAATCCTGCGGATACCTCATTTGCTTTTTTTGAAACTATTCTTCAGAATCCAGGTGATAAACCGCAGTCGCTTTATGATGAATGGTGTGCTTGATGGATATGGGCGCTTAACGAGAAATATCAACGTTTTAACTCGTATCGATGCCAATAGGCTGTTCTGATTGGGCTTTATGCAGGAATAGTTGTAAATAAATAAGAATTACCGCCGAACACTCATGCTAGCAAGTTGAAATATTAAAACCTGCGTATATAAAAAGATTCTTTAGGGTCAAGGTCGAAATTTACCAGACGAAGCGTATATATGGGAATTGAAGTAAAAATTTACAAGCTGAATATTGCCAGTGTTAATACACGCGATATGGAATATACGCCGCTCATACAAGAAGTCTACACGAGACTCATCTGTCGAAATTCCGTCTAGGATCTCTTCTTCCCCTTCGATGCACCACGTATCATATTCTGGAAAGGTTTCTTCCCAACCGAGCCCATGCCTTTCAATACCATCGCAGTCCCCTCCACCATCATGCCGACTGCATACAAACCCATACCAGCTACGGCGACTGGTGTCGCCACCACTATCAATAAGCCGCGGCCTATCTGTTTCGCCGGATTGTCGCTCTTGACGCTCGATGTATCGGAGGATATATTCTGTGTGCTTTCCAAGTTCGACTGCGGCGGATCGGGGTTGGCATTTCGCTTCAGCTTATTTGAAGTCTTAGGCTTGACGGCTGGAGTCGCTTCGGACGAGGTGTTGGATGGCGCTGACTGGTATACAGGAGGCAGATCCTTGGTCAGGTCTGAGGAGGGTCTGCCAGCCAGCTGAACGGCGTTGGTGACTCTCGCTGCCACGGATGCGAGTTCTTCCTCTGTAGCGCCGCTTGATGCGGCCTTGCGGTATGCTGCGAGCTCTCTTTCCAAATTATTCAGAGAGTCTTGCCAGTTCTCATTAGTGGGGACGGCCATCTTCGAGGAGGTGTTTTTGGATTCGATATCGACCATTTTAAACAGCAACACCTAAGCAGGCCATGCATAAGTGCATATGCATATCACAGGAGCTACAGAAAAAAAGCGACTCTTACCAACGGCGTCTCGAGGTCGTGTGATAGATGAGAGAACGGCGTGCAGAGAGCCGTTCCAATTTATAAGTTCAGTGTGTCTGTTTCATTTGGGACACAAAGCTGCGCAGTTCATCAAGCAGCGGACTTTCGAGGCCATTACGAGAATCGAAGTTGTCCTGCGGACTCCTGCCTATGTCTCGTGTTCTTTTGTTATCTTGCACGTTTGGCTTCAATCAATTGGACGCTGCGGAGCCAACATAGATACTCGTAAGAGCCGCGTTTCTGCCACTTCTTTATTGACAGCGCGTCCCATTCAACGTGCACACAGATTTTTAAATCCGTCTGAAGCATGTAACGAGTCAACACTGCCTCTACCTTGTGGTAAATAGAATTTTCTCGATAGAGGGACTCGATCGCAGGTTACCAGAAGAACACAACTTCCAAACGATGTCTTGAGCAGAATTTTGGTTTCCTCTCCCTCAAAAAAATTGAAAGATGATTTTCCCTTGCAGTTCTACCTTTCTACAGCAAAGTAGCAAAACATCTAGAGCAATAACAAAAGCCAAAAGTTTGATGAGAGTGGGATTCGAACCCACGCCCCTGGCGCATCTCTACTCCCACTGTCGTTTTTTGTTTCAGAAATGGGCGAAAATGCGCTGGAATGACATCATCCACTTGCATGTCCCGTGCGCACTCTGATCACGCGAGCCTCGGCTCGCTCCGGCTCACACTCCCGCCCCGCGGACTCCGGTCCCGCTCCTGCTCACGCTCACCAAAAAGGTTGATGAGGGCGAGATTCGAACTCGCGCCCCGGAGGACCAGATAACCCAATGGGCAGTGACGAGTACAAAGTACTCTGATCCTTAGTCTGGCGCCTTAGACCGCTCGGCCACCTCACCACTGCCATTTTGCGGGGTATTTGACTACATACCCGGGAAGAGCCTTATCTTATCTACCTCCCATCCACTGATCCATTTTTCCCTCTCCCATTCTTTATGTTTATCATCATTTCTCTTTTTATATCACATGGCTATTTACTCGTTCACCTATATAAACCGTAGATACTCGTAAATAGCCCCCAGTGTATCTTAAAGTCGTTAATTCGTGTTGGCTAGAAACTCCCACCGCTGTCACATGACCATTCTGTAGTACTTTCAATCCGTGCCCAACACTCCGCGCCCCCGTTCTCTCATCTCCTTCGCCTCCGCTCTCTCCTTCGCCTCCGTCCAATATTTCCATCACAGGCACCCCTCGTCCAGCCGACCCACATCCCCGGCGTCTTTTCCGCCCAGCAGAAAGCAACCACTATCTTGCCGTAACCGTGTAAGTTCCCTTTCATTCATCTCCATCCACGGCGTCCGTGCCTTACCTCCAACTCGAGCGACGCTCGCGTCATCCTACAATGATTTGCAAGAACATCGCAGTGGAAGACGACAACGCTGGAGCCCCGCCGTTTCCCCTCTCCTTCGACGACGACAACGATTTCACGCGCTCCTCAGCTGAAGATTGGATGGAACGCGCAAAGTGAGGCCGCAGCGGCCCCCAGCGCATTATACGGTACGTCGCAGCGCATTGCAACGGCATACAGCATACACTAACGACCTATTTGCAGCGCAGGGCGCAAATGCCAGCGCCTCGCACACCACCCTCCAACTCTCAAACGGCGTGTGTGTCCTCCAATCCCCTTGGCCGCCTACAACGCCTCGCAGGAACATTGCAGCTCAAGTGTCAGCAAGATATTTGCACTGTGTATTCGCCCTCCCGCGGCGCTCGGTACGTCGCTGTTGGACGGTGCGCATCGATTTTTTGCGACTGAAGGGCTATGTTAACGAATCATATTTAGCAGGCGAGGGTCCTTGACCCCAGCACCTATCATCCACGGGTCGTCCCACCGACTCCCGTCACCGCCGTAGTAGACTATTACCCGCTACCCCAACATCGGCCATTCTCAACATAGCTAGTACTCTTTGTAAAGAATATAACCCATTGAATTCTCCGTTTCATGAATACCCAGTTGCATATGTTACATGTCACAAGCCTCAAAACTCATTCAGGACGACTGGCAGGCATCAATGCATATCTGCGTTGGCTCAACATGAATCGCGCAAATATATGCGCATATAATCCACTCTCACCAAAGGACAACTGCTTTCTGGCGCTGATGAGAGCCAGCTCCAGCTGCATCATCGCCGTCTTTGCCGCGATAATCTCCAACTCTTTGGCCTTTTCCGCCTCGATCACAGCCAATTCCGCAGCGGCCGCCTTCCCCTTTTCAAGAGCGTGTGTGATCAGCCCTTGAACTAGTCCCGCGGTATGGCTTTTGAGTTCGGCCAAGGAATTTTTATCAGCGATGAGGCTAAACAAAGCCTGGTGAACGGCGGCTGTGGAGAACAAAAAAAAAAGCATTGTGCAAGGTTCCACAAAATACTTGTCAAAAAAGCATACCATTGGCGGAGAGGCGCGGCTTTTTGCCTTTCGATGATGTAGAAGGATGTTCTTCCATAGTGGTTGACAAACAATTTACAAAATGGAGCGCGTTGCAAAAGGATGTTCTTGGGGGGGCAATAGGGGCATGGCAGTATTCCATGCACGCGCCGGATATTGCTCGCGTCGATTTGATCACATGACTACTCCGGAGTTTAGAAATGCGGGGTGGCAACGCGTCGTATACTTTCCGCGCTTCGCGTCTTCGTCCCATAGGCCACAATGCCTCCTCTTTTCTCGAGCTTTGCTGATAAGCTGGAAGTCATTGTTAAAACTTCTGCCAGCACTATCTTGTTACAATCAGAAATGGGCATTGTGCCACCAGGAACCCGAACAGATGCCCCTCCAGCCCCGGCGGCTGTACCTGCACCTGCCAATAATGCTGCACAGCCAACACCCGCTGTCTTGAGCAAGGCCCAGCTTAAATGGAACGAACGGTTTAGGATGTTGCATGGCATCCATTCCGACGAGGATACGTTGAGACTCGCCGCCGCATTCAAAGACAGGGCCGAAAATATTCAGTCACGGCTAGCCCCCAAGACGATCTCGAATCAGGAGCGCATCAAGGCATTCTGGGAGTTCTCTATAAACGCATTCAGACCTACCTATGACCAAGTGCCACAGCAGAATCTGTGGCTTCCGGACATGGTCATAAATAACATGTTCAATTTCCTTCCGACAATGGTATGTTATCTTTTCCCTGAATTCAAACACAATCATATTCATTCATACTTTCACCAAAGCTCGATATGACCCCCCACGAAAAGGGTACACCGTACTCAAATCCAATACACTTATTGGGTGGTACGACATCTTCATTATCCTTATCGTCCAGAATACCCGGGATGCAAACGGGGTTAGGAAGGGTTATTCCTTGCTTACGGAGGAAGGGCGAATAAGCAAGCTCAAGGACCAAGTAATCCAGCGTGAGTTTGAAGCCTTTTAGTTCCGCATATAATCACTCAAAATTGGCTCATTATAGTTATCTTTGATCGCAATTTATCGAGGACTCTCAACAAGAAACATTATTTTGGCAGAGCCGAAGTACAGCAAATTCTGAGCACAATGCTTGACGCCTCTGCGGGATCAGGCCCCCATCGTCTCATGAACCTGCAATTTGGACTTGCGATCTTAATTGTCGATTATGCAACAACTCGCCCATGTGGCCTAGCGGCTGCCTCGCATTGGCTTGCGCAAAGAGGCCAGGTATGACTCCACAGGCTTTATTCGCATTGCCGTAACCACACTGATTCGCATCTTAGTATCTGAAATTAAAAGATTTCTCCCTTTATTCTCGGGGTCCCATGAATTGGGAAATCCAAATCCATATGACTTATTTCAAGGTACGTTCTTGTTTCTAATATCCTTTGATCCAGAGCTCAATGACTATAATAGGGTGCTCTGAATACCGCTGTGGCGGACGAACAAACAATCGTCTTGAAAAGTGTCGGCAAGGCCCATAACGCCCTGTTTGATCCCACTCTATGGGCTGTTTCATATTGGTTTGCGAGAGGCGTTTTTCAACAGGATTATCACGTGTGTGAACTCCAATTCTTTGTGTTGATTGGTTTGCTTATTGTCTCATCAGACATTGGAAGAGATTTGCAATGACAAGTCAGCACAAATCCAATTTAAAGCTAGCAAATTGGACGAGCCGGCGTAAGAATATCATTTCCTTATTCGAAATTGCGGTATACTTATGATAATGATGATAGGTTTGTGGCTGGAAAACCGGGCGGATTTGGATTGACTGATCCACCCGTACCTCAAACGTCTGCCCAGCTGTCTAACAATTTCTCATCCTGGTCCAAAGAGGCGGGTTTGCCTCAATCTGGCATGTATGCCCTCCGCCGTGAAGCTGGAAATATGTATGCTTTGCAGCTCGGAACCGAAGCTGCGAAGGACATTATGAATCATTCGACTACGGGTGTTTTTCGCCGCCACTACTCGAAAAACGCCCAGAATTTTGATCTCGTTGGCCTCCGCAATGGGGAGGTAACTGGGAATATGGAATCTTTTCCTGGTCAGGTTTTGAAGGTATATTTATCATTATATAAACACGTTAATTTCACTTATTGGTATACTTTCAGACGCAGAATGAAAGGACCCTCTTTCTTTCCGCAGCTGTCGAAAACATGGTTCGCTTCAAAGCTAAAGCTGAGAAACCGAAAGATCGCAGACAAGAAGCTCTTGCCGAGGAAGCGGAATATCAGAGATTGTATCATGTAAGTCCGACAACTATATGACTATCTGTAAAGTACCTCTAACATTCAAGATACTTATAGAATGATCCCGCTGTTACTGAACTCTCGGAGAAAGCGGATGGACTGTTTCAAGAATTCCTCACGTGCATGACTTCCGACGCAAAAACGTATGAAAACACGACCTTTCAGGTCAATCGTTTATTGAGGCAGGCGACACAAGAGACCAAGGACAAAGGTTTTCCTAGTATTCTCCCCGGCTGTGACATCAAAGCTCGAGAAACCCACGGAGCTCTCATTAGGCTTTTGTCGACCCTCACCGATGCAAAATCGAAGATCAGGCGCATTGCCAAACGAGGAATTGGTCAGGCAAATAATCAGTCTTTTGCCTCAGGCTCGCTGTCGGGTACTACTGCGGAGAGGGAGCAGGCGATAAAAGATGTTAGCAAACCATCAGACCAGCTACTTGCGGCTGCTCAAACAGCATCTACGAGTAATCAAACAGGTAAGTTTTCCTTGAGTTTTCCCCCCCTTTTTTGTCTTTTATTTTGGATCACTTTATGTAATGTTCTCGTAGATGATATCGTTTTTTGTGGAAACAATGCCGAAATTGGAACATGGAAGGCAAGTCTGGATCAGGCCATTTACGAGGATGAGGACGAGGACCAAATACTGCGCGAAGAAGTCTGCCAGCCAGCGGTCCAAGGGCAGCTGAACAGCCTCAAGGCCCATATCGAGCTCGACTGCCCAGTCGACGACTCGAACGTGTCTGTACCCAGCGTGAACTTGGAGGAAGACGAAGCAGACATTTTGAATATCCCTCTCCCAGATCTCAAGTTTGCGTTGCTCCAGCAATACCTGAACCCAATCTTTCGGGACCGAATGATGGTTACACGAAAGGTGCATATAAGTTCCTATATTCCTTGCTGTAGATGCTTACACTTGTACCTTTCCAATAGATTGATATCGTCGAAGGACCTTCAGTTATTCTGAAGAAGACAGGATCAGCCACTCGGTATATATGTCCAGAATGCAAAAAGGACTACTCTTCCCCTTCGGCAGTGCAAAAACATACGTAAGTCAAATTATTTGTTATTTATGGCAGATTTTCCAAAAAAAAAATTCAATGTAGTCTTCAAATCCACTCGCCGTGGAAGGCATTAATTCTCTCGTTACACAAACCTCGGGGCAGCAAGGACACCATAACATGCCCA